TATATATATATAAGATGCCTAAAGGTTAAAACTGCACGAGCTGGAGAGGACATATTGTCTCCAAAAGCTTTTATACACGTACACATTTGTGACATCCCAATTCACACTCTGTCCTGCCTGGGTTTTAAGCTATGAATACACTGTTACGTATGCAAGAGCTACATCACAGAAAACCTCGGGACACACAGAGGGAAGTCTGGGAAAGGAGGGGGGGGGGGCAGGGATCTTGTGATGCTCGTTACATCATCTCTCCTGCTTCATTGCATAATGTAACAAACATATATATATGTGAAAGTCAGCTAGAAAGATTCTAACAACAGAACAGCACCTCTGGATTGGTGTTCTGTGTGCCTTTCTGTCTCAATACAGAAATATGAGATTAGAGCTTTCTTGCAGGGTTCATTTGCCTGCTAATCATTTTCAAAATGGTGATGGAGGCGGTGTATGTATAAATGTTTTGGCTTCACTTTCAAATTCTACAACAAGGAATTTACATGGAAAGTTGACACAGCGTTCCTGCAGTGTGATATAATAAACGCCGTCTAAGCCTGTACTAAACACAATTTTTTTTGTACATTTGGCAGACACTTTTATGCATAATGACTTGCACTGTATTCAGGGGCGTCATGCACTCATTATTTTTGAGGGGGCACGAGTGTGTGTGTGCGTGTGGCACACAGCAGCCACAACAGCATTTATGTTGCATTTATTTTTTTCCTTTTTATTCGAAACATTCCCAAACGCATTAACGGAATTATCATGAAATATCTTGATTCTCACCTTTATAGATTATGTTGATTGTGAGCGATGGTCAAAGTAACCTAATAATGTAATCTATTAACTATACATAAAACCTGTCTGTTTACTTGATTAACAGATATGGGTGTCATGCCATAACATATTTTTAATACGACTGAGTTTATATTTAATGTGAATTTAACATTGAAAGTTAATGTGAATAAATAACACTTTCATTGTACAGATTGAACATTTACATTATCAAAGAACATTTTCACTGACAGTCTAGTTCAAGCACTCTCAAAAACTCCCATTAAAATCACTGAAGCTGTTTACACTATGAAATTAATATCTTAAAGATTCGTACACACATTTGCACTTTGTTGTTTCTGACGAGAGAATTCGCCAGAAAGAGGTATTCAGTCAGCGAGCGAGTGAAGAAAACATTTTAACGATGACTCATCTGAACACCTCTGATTGGCCATTGCATTCATCAGCATCGTGTGTGATTGGTTGTAATGCGCAGTGCTGTAAAAACGCTTCTGTCTCTAGCTCAGCGCTAGCCAGCGAACGAACGCAGATTTGAATTTAGCAGCTGATGATATGACGCACTGACTGAACGTTCTGTGTGATTGTATTAAATATAGAAAATATGAATCGGCTATTTTTTGTCTTTTGGAAGCTGCATTTAAAATCCACTTGACTCAAAAATCGAAAAACTTTGAATGGGCATGACGCCTCTGACTGTATTTAAGGCATACATTTTTATAAGTGTTTGATAAAAGGTCAAAAGGTCATGCATGACCTTCATCTTAGTTTATTAATGCTTATGTAATTGTTAATGCAGCTTTTATGACCTCATATTGAGAGACTATGGAATATTTAAAAAAAAAAATTTTAGTAAGCTAAATTATATTAAAAAAAACATAAAACACAAACATACTCTAAATATTGCAAACCTGAAACCTTACAGTTTAAACATAATTTAGTACAATTATAATTTATGTTAAATAACATAAGACTGCATCTAATAACTAAATACAATATACCGCTCTACCGTTTGGGGTCAGTAAGATGTTTTTTTTAAGCAATTAACACTTTTATTCAGGAAGGATGCATTAAATTGATCAAAAGTGACAGTAAAGGCTTTGACTTTGGTACAAAAATGCTGTTCTTTTGAACACTATTCATCAAAGAATCACAAAAGTATTTAACATTAATAATAAGAAATGTTTCTTGAGGACCAAATCAGCATATTACATTGATTTCTGAAGGATCATGTGACACTGAAGACTGGAGTAATGGCTGTTGAAAAAAAAGAAAAAAGAAAATATATAAAATAGATATTTTAAACTGTAATAATATTTCATAATGTTTATGTTTTACTGTATTTCTGATCAAATAAATGAAGCTCGTGGGCATAAGAGACATTCAAAAACATAAAGAAGAAAATCCTTACCGACCCCAAAATTTCTGAAATAAATGAACTTTTCCACAACATTCTAATTTATTGAGATGCACCTGTATAAAGGCTCTGGCTCTCACTCCTGTGTATCTTCATGGCCATCAAGATCATCCTATAGAAATGAAGTGGTGATTCATATATCACATTAACTCCTTGTCTCTTGTGTGGCTGTGTATGTGTGTCTGTTGTCTGTGTGATTTCAATCACACGCTGTATATAATGCCTGATGGCAGAGGGTAATCTGCTACAGCACATCTCCTCTCACCAATGAGATCAATGTTTTCAGTATCATGTTACATTAAGCCTGCATGTGACGTTTAAATAATAATAATAAACTATTAAAAAATGAATTGTGTCCTTTAAAAAAATGAAATGATGGAATCAGTGAAAGCTGTACAGGACTGTACGTGTCTGTATGCTGCATAATTAAACACATCTGAAGTGCTGAGATTCATATTCAGAAAAACACCTGCATGTTGAATGTATTCTGATTTCGCCAAAAATAAACAAAGCTCTATACTGTTTTATTCTATTGAAGTGTTTGTTAAAAACAAATTAGTTTACTTTACCTTAAAAAGCATGGAAACAGATCTAACAAAAAAGTAAAAAAAAAAAAAAAAAGGAATGACATAATATAACTTGATTATGACTAGCAGCAAAAATTAAGCTGAAAGTAAGTAATCAAATTTCAGTTGAGAGAGCTATTACTTTTTACAATACTCGGGATTGTTTTGCATGTGATGTTTTGTGATAGGAGTGGGACGATTATATTGGGACCTTTTTATTGCTCTCTCTATCTTACGCATGGCCCTGGACACATTGCATGTATAATTAGCCAGGTTGTGTTAAAAAGATATATAGATATTCTGCGTGCTGCATGCGTGCCTCTGAATGATGTAAAACAGCATGCAATTTTTTCTTTGTTTTTGCTTACTGGACATTTTCTCGATGATGATGCGAGTTCCCAAGAGCCAATAGTTCAGCATTATTTTTTATTTATTTTGATTATGTAATGTTTGTAGCCTCCTCAATAGCAGAGTGAAGCACCCCTTCTTTTGACTGATGGTTGGCTCCTCAGTGTGTGTGTGTGTGTGTGTGTATGTATGTATGTGTGCACAAGCGCCGCCCATACTTCAGCTCTATTCAGAGAGAGAGAGAGAGAGAGAGAGAGAGAGAGAGAGAGAGAGAGAGAGACGTGTCCGAGGAAGCAGGCGAGTGAGAGGAATGTGTAGAGAGTGAAGCAGAGAGAGAGAGAGAGAGAGAGAGAGAGAGAGAGACTCCCACCTCGCCGTGAGAACAGAACGGTGTCGAACCGGACGTGCGTTTCTCTTCCATAAACCGCGCGTTGCTCACGGGGGCGCGGATACAGGGTTGCAGCTGGCGTCGGGGGCTCGAACCTGCGGAAAGGACACGGATCCAGGACCAGGACTGACCCTGAGGATGATGAAGGTGAGGCTGACTGTGATGCTCCCGTGAGCGCCATTCTTTGGCTTACCGACGGTCTCTGTTAACGGATACGAAAAAAGGAGGTTGGGGGAGAGGAGGGGGTGGATATAAACGAGCTGAATAGAGGTCACGAAAGCGCGATGTGACATCTCGACAACGTGAAGCATTCTTCGTGTTATTCACCTGGGAGGCTGCGAGTTAATGGACGCTCCCCCTCGCGCCGCTATCCGTCCGCCCGCGCGGAGAGACTCGCATCGTTCCAGTGCTATGGAAACGGGAGAGATGGAGCAAGCGCGCGACAGAGGGGGATACCCGGCACCTCAGCGCTGCCTCGGGCATGTCAGTGACGTTGGTATATTTAGCGCTTTCCTAAATGTGTCACGGCGCCCTTTAGAAGCTGTTCACCTTTAATTGAAGCGCGACGTAGGTGCGTGCGCAGAATCCGTTGTTTTCTGCTTCTGTCGCTTCGTCGTGGTTGTTTCTGACGCGAGTCCGCGTTTATTGATTATAAGCGACCGGCATTCCGTAGTCAAGTGTCCGGGCGCGCGCACGCATTTACTTTGACAGACATGATCGTTTGTGCGCAGTTTATCGGTGTCAAACGCGAACGCGGATTTCTAAGGACGAGAGATGCAAGCTAGGCCGGCGATGACGCTGCTCTGGCCTCTGTCAAGCGTTTGAGAGGATACAACCCTTAAAAGCGTGAAGAGTTGCGACGGAGGCCGACGGTCCTTTCGGCATGTAAGTACTGTGAAGCTCGCGCAGAAGCTTCTCGCGGACAAAATGCGCGAGTGGCGACCGAGCACGTGAAAGGATGCTCGCGTATTTTGTTTCCTTAGGGGGGGATACTGAGGTGTGTCCGCGAGCCGATCACAACGCTCTGATGATCACAGGTGCCTCTCACATCTTTAATTTCCTACAGTATGCACCATCCTACACCATCTTTGGTTTCTCTAATATTAAATAGGTCTAGGTTTAGGTCTGTTATAGAGAAGCCAATTATAATATTTTGACCTATAAGCACACTACATTTATTAACTAGTGATGGAGCTGGAAGAGAATTTGTAGGTCTTTGGCTGTATTGTGCGATCAGTGTATCCAGGCAGTTGCACCTGAATGGTCATGTATATTTAGGCCATGCCTTTTTGCACACCCCATTCATCCAAGGTTCAGGTTATAAACACAAGAGAGGTTGCCATTAAACCTGTGAGATTCCATTGCATGGTTTGTTTTAATCAGATTTCACACGTTTCTTGTGCAGGTCGATGCTAGACTGTAGTAGGGGAGTGTTGTAATGAATTTCATTTTAAAGCCCGCAGCTCAGTGTTTTTGCGGTACAGTTTGTCCCTAAACTGTGTAAAGCACACTATCATGGATATTTTAGATTTTGTGCCTAGATTTTTTTTTTTTGTGGTAATCAAATATAGTTGTTTAAAATAATTATGACTTGCATTTTAATTCCAAATGGTAAACAAAAACTTGTAAGTTATGAACAGCAAACCAAAATGTCATATGCCAATACAAATATGTCAACAACATGAAACGCAGGCTAACAGTTCGTAACTGACACTGTTTGTGTTCAGGTGTCACAAATGTGGCTTGTACACTTTTGTGCAATCTTTGTTGGTCTAGTAGACATTGAAAAGTGCTACATCCCCCCTTTTCTGGTCAGACGTGATTCTTCTTTGTTTTTAAATGTAGATGAAACTTTTGTGTTGATGTTAAATGAAACAAGAGACCCAGACGATTCAGGTGATACCAGTTCTGTCATTTAACACTATTCAAATTATAAATCAGATGTGCAAGACCTTCAAACCTCAATATAGGTTTGACATTTTCTGTGCATTTTTTACTATTTCTTTACAGAGACTTACAGACTCTGTGTTTTCACCTCAGATCAGCGATGGTCATGTATGATAGGGATTTCACCATTTCTAATTGGTTAAACTGATGGTGTTCCAACATGCTTATCCTTAACCTGACCCCTTCTAGAGGACAGAGGCATTTGGCCATTCTCATTAAAGATGATTATGGAATCACTGCTATCAGCTAAAACGTGAATCAGCGGAATTATTCCCTTGAACTCATGTTGCTCAAACCGTCAGCCTTAGTGCTTTGTGTGTTCACGCTGCAAGCACATATTTGCAGACTGGGGTTTTGTTGTGCATTGGAGCATAATGGTTCGGATGCATCCCACTGAACTGCTGAAACCATTGACTCACTGTCTCTACGGAAAAACAATATTGCTCCCGAAAACTTCACTGACGGCGTGCTGCCCCCCCCCCCCAAACATTTTTTTACAAAGGCTGTGAGTGGTGCGGTACCTCTTCTAAAGGTATATGTACCATTCAGGTATTTACACTTTAGGTACTGATGTGTACCTATAAGGTACTAATAAGCATCTTTAAAGGGTGAATAATTTACAAAGGCATACCTTTTATAATACTGTCGATAGGTGTACCTTTTGATAGCTTTTGTACCTTTTTTCTGAGAGTTTAATGACTTGTTTTAATTTTAAAACAGACTATAAATGCTTTATTAGCTGCCGCTTTTCCTCTAAAGCAAAGTAAACATTACATATAGCTGTAACTGCCATGTGATACGAAGCCACTGACACACCAAACATATTCAGCAATGTGTTTATGTTCTGTCATATAATATTAGAAACACCAGATGGGAAATTTTAGCATATTGTCACATGTAAAGCGGTTGTACGCACACATTGCAATTATGCATTGAGACATCAGTTAGCACCGGTGTGGGATGTTGAATGCTGACTGTCATTCTGTATTGCTAGGCTATGGCAGGATATTTCCCTTTTGCATTAGCATGCAGTCCTTCTCTCCCAACAGGTCTGAATAACCTGTTAACAGTGAAGGGAAGTCTGGGAAATGTACTGCCAGTGCAAGAGAGTAACTTGGGACTTGAATGTTGCAAATGACAGATTCTCGGCCTTCTTTTAGTGCGAAAATCTTGCATGAGTGCATATGTTGGCGTATTCGTTAAAACAGAAGCTTACGGATTCACTTTACATCCTACTCTCGAGACACCAGCAGCCTTTAATCCTGTCCTCTGTAGCCATCTTAAAATGCGCTAGATTCAGCTTGGAAACACTTACGTAAAAGGTGATTGCAGAACAACTGATGTATAGAGGTTTTCTAGATAGTATGGCGCTTCTGACCTCATGGTGCACGTTTTAGGGGTGCATTCTGGCCTTTCAAATCAGCGGCTTGAGGTTTCAGGATTGTTCCACTGAGCTGGTGTGCGACATTCACATGGAGCGGCATGTGCATCCAAAAATATGACTGCGTTAGTGCGGGAAAGAGCGGGAAAATCAAGAGAATGGCCAGATTTAGAAACATCTGCACTGGGAGCGTAGGCTGGGAATCCACCCAACCACCCACACACACAAACACACACACACACACATGCCTGTAACAAACATGCGTATCTTTTGCATCTTTAATGGCTGAAAGGCTTTTGTGCATTTTCTCCGCTTGTTTTAGGAACCGTGTGGGCAGGCAATGCTGCATGAGTTTAAAGCATTTATAATCTAAATTTAGACTTCAAGAAAAGTGCAAAATGTTTGATCAGGATGATTCATATCAACGTGGAGGGAATAACAGGCTTAAGCAGCATCATATGGCTAAGCAGCTCAGACTCAAGTAGGTCCTTAAAACATTTGTTTATAATGTTACTTCGCTGTCTGCACATTTAGTTTCGTTTATTATCTCTCCCAGCAAGATATGATGAGAATTAATGGCTATATGAGTTTATTTGTGTGTGTATGCAGTTATGAGAGCTTAATCCATAGCGTAGCAGTCTTATTTTAATGCAGTCTCTCTCTCTTCTGCTCTTTTCCCCTCTCTCTCCAGTTCTCTCTCCTAGACTCCTAGCCCACTGTACTCCGATTACATAATCATCCTCCCCAGTCAGGTGTGTGTGCGTGTGTGTCTATGGTGAGGCAGCATCCTCTGGTCTCTTAGATGTTCTGTTTTCCTTTTTTCCCCTCTCAATGGAGAGGGTTTGCCGTGCTATAGTCCTCTGAATTATAGGACTGTTCTGTCTGTACTGTAGTGCAGTAATAATGATACTGAATGAATGAAACACTTTATTTTCTGTTTAGACACCCAAAGCTCCTTGTTTTGTTGAAGGGAACTCAGGTACGCGGCATCAGGATGGAGTGATGGCAGTCAGTGAGAACTGAAGTGCTGACCTACAGCAGCTGTTCTGGTGGAGGGGTGGAGATATTAGATTATCGGACATGGAATGTTGTTAGAGGGCCTAATGGGTCATTTGGACCAGATGTTGAGGTAGACACCCTGTTGATTGTTTTTAGCCTCTGCTATGCCATTTGTCCAAGGAACCACAGCTTTCTTGGAGCAGAGGGTGTTGACATCTGTGCTAGTGAGGGGTAATTTCCTTGTGAATAACTGAAAATGAAAACTGTAACAAAACTGGTTTGAAACTTCGATATATCTAGATGGTGAACCATTGTGAGGTAAGATGTTAGCAGCTAAACATTAAATATTTTATTTGTACTATACTGTTTTAGGATAGCAGTGTTAAACAACAATAGTAATATGCAGTGATGTAAACTTTTTTTGTAAAATGTTGCGGTTTTGAATTAAAAATGCATGCTGAATAATTTACCTAATTCATGTAATTCATAACTGAATGTGGTGATGAATAGAAGTCTGTCTATCACAGACTGTCTATCAGTCTGTCTATCACAGACTGTCTATCAGTCTGTCTGTCTGCATCTATCTATCTATCTATCTATCTATCTATCTATCTATCTATCTATCTATTGCTCAATCGTTCTATCGTTCTGTCCATATGGCTTAAACCTTCAGACTTCAAAGTTTTAAAACTTTTTTCAAAATTGTAAACAAAGCTACATTCAAATTTGGTGTTTTTAGTTAAAAATTACAGTAATATGAAGTTACAATATGTAACAATTGTATTGTTCAAAATGTTCAAACTTTATATAATGAGCAAGTACATACGTATATCCATTTTCCAATTGTATATATCCTTATTTAAGATAAGACATATATCCAATTGTCTTATCCTTAATCACTATGGTTAGCCTATAATAAGTGTTTATTCAGACTATTTTAGACTGGTCAGGAAGACAACCACTGTGGAGTAACTCAGTACCTTTATGACTCATATCCATAAACAGAGAAAGTATCTCCAGCTACAATGTTCTTCCGCTAGGCACATTCAGTTTTTTTTATTAATGGCAATAGCAGCAAAAGTTACAGTGTACCTAAAATTTATTGTAATTCTACTTCCTTACATTCACATTTGAATTGCAGTTCTGATTCCACATT